CTCTCTGCTGCTGTAAGATGCGCGCATGGAAGCCCCATCTCCAAAGGCTCCTCGCTGGAACCAGGATGATGGAAAGACTCAGCCAGGGCTGAAGATGGAGGAAGCTTTTCTCACTGGAGGAGAACATCTAGAGTTAGACACGGTGGCTCTCTCTCCTGGGTCTGGCTTGGTTGATTGAGAACAAATAAGCAGATCTTCTGTCCCTGGAGATCGGGACTTTCATGGGGATCCGGGCAGCAATAGTTGCCAAGTTTGGGCATCCCGAGGGCTGATTCCCCACAGCTCCTCATTAGAGACTCCTATAGTCACTGTTATTTGTTCCTTTTCTCTCCCGATATAGATACATCAGAGGGGAACTCAGCTCAGTGCTCAGAATTTTTGCTTCCCACTGCCTCAAGTCCATCTCATGCCCATGTCACAGATAGAATATACCTGATTGTCTGCTCTGTGCCCTGAATTGGCCTGAAGAAAAATTGTGAAACCAATGAAACTGGCCCACCCCTAAGAGGGATGCATAGCAGCTTCATTCTGTACACTTTGTTCAGAAACAAAGGCTTAAGTATAATCCTTAAGACTTCAGGACCCTGTACTCTTTCTTCTTTCAAATACAAGTTTTAATTTGTTAATTTATACTAAGAAAGTTATAACTAAAAGCAGAACCTCAAATCTATGTTTTAATCTCTGTAATAATTACCATGTCCCTGATGCAAGAAGCCAGAGGCACCACCTAGAAATGTTGGCCTATAGACAGTGAGTAGGGAAATACTAGATGTATGTGGTCATCTAAATACACAGTATCCATGGACTGACTATTGGACATTGAGTGTGTACTTATAAGTGTCTATTTGTGTGTCATATACAAAGCAAAATTGTTAAAAGGTGGTTTTAAAAACCCACATTTTAAGAAAAGCAAAAAGAACACAAATATAAAATTGGGCAAGCACGTGTTAGGTAAAGGCAAAAATTAGAGAACAAGGGTAGCACTACTAATTACAGATAAAGCAGTAATTAAGCCAAACACAAGTGTGTCACAAAAGGGGAATAATTTACGATAATAAAGGAAAACTACATAGAACTTAATAACTGTTATGAAACAGCGAACGAAATAATATAACAATAGTTTGCATAAGGCAAAGGCTTATAAAAAATTTTAAAGTTGATAATATCAATATCTTAATGGTAGATGTTAACATATACTTCCCAGAATTTGACAGATGAAGTAGTTAATATTATATGGCAGAGATTTTGTTTAAGCAATGCATAAATTTGATTTTAAATATATATATACATACAATACATATACTTTCACTATGTAAATAAAGAATACACATTTTACTTTTAAGCTCAGAGAATAATTATAAATATTGCCCATTTTTTGGCTACAACAAAAACTTATATAGAGCCCTCAAACATTGATTTTATAAGATACATTCCCTTAGTTTCCATCACGAAGACAAAAATTAGAAACCAAAAATCAAAAGGTAAAAAAAAATATCCAGTTGGTAAAATTTAAAACAATATTCTTCAAAATTCCTATATTAAAAAATAAAACCAAATGATTTATAAACTAAAGAAAAAAATTAACATAAAAACCTGCGGGAAGAGTGATATCTGCATCATGGTAGAATGAGAAGACCCCTTTGTTTCTCCTCTTAAAGTTACAGCAAGTTGGACAGTTATAATTCAACAGAGGATCCCCTGCTCGACATACAAACACATTCGAGATGAGAGGTCCATGCATCCAGGCATCTGAAGGTGGACGCATTGGAATGAGCAGGAGAGTTAAGTGGGGAAAGGACAGAGACGGGGACTACAGACAATCTGGCACCCACCGAGGCCCCAGCTGATGCAGTAGTGGTGTAAGAGCTGGACCGCAGCCCTCACGCGGCAGCCCAGAGGGAAGGAGGGACAGCAGCAACATTCTGGTCTGAGTAGTTTAGCCAGCTCCCATTGCAGCTAAACCCGGTGACTGAAGCAGAGATGTGGCACAGCAGTGTGGCAGCTGCAGACTAGCAGCCATCATTGCTAGCAAGAAGAGAAAGCCATAGACTCACAAAAATTCCTCGCCTTGCCCCTCCTCGTCCTCCGCCTTGCCCATTCATTGGGTCGGTGTGTCTTCAGAGCTTAGAACTTCATGGTGGTGGCAGGGGGATCTAATAAAGGTGGGATGTTCTGGGTTTTGGCATGTCCTAGAGGATCCCAGAGTCCTAGAGTATCAGGTTGTCTTTAAAGAGTCAGGATGTCCTAGGAATGTCAGAATATACTTCTTGTGTCTATGTAACCTTAAGAAGCAGAGTGATGGGAGTGTCAGGATGTCCTGACTGCTCAGGGATTCTGGGTGTGTCAGGGTTTCCTTGAATAATAAAAGTGTCAGGATGTTGTGGGAATCTCTGTCTCCTGCAGAGTCCTGGGGTGGGGAGGGGATCAGGATGCACCTGGAATTCTTATGCTTTTGAGGGTTAGGGCTTTCTGAAGGTCTGGGCAACCTTGGAAGGTGATGGAGTCCTGGGGCTTCTGGGTGAATGAGGAGGTGACATTTGGGGGACAAAAGCAGAGAGTACTTGAGAACTCAGGTATCCTGGAGACTCGTCCCACAATTCAGGTTGTCCTGAGGGGAAGTCTGGTGTATTCTGAGAATCAAGGTATCTAAGAGGGGCCAGAATGCACTTACGTCTTTCAGGTTTTCGGTTTTCTGTAAACAGGCAGGCCCTTGGCTATCACCCTCAGGCTGAGATACCAGGCAGGCCCTGCCCAAGCCCCTATTTGCACCCCTCCCCACCAGGTGGGGTTCTGAGGAGGGGTCTTAGGAGGAATGCATTTTCTCCTCCTTCCCCTGTCTGCTCCCAGGAGGGGATTTAACGGGACAAAAGAACTCGGTCCTCTGGGAACACGAGCTCTTGGCCCCAGTCCCTGGACCCTCCAGACAGAGTACCTTCCCTCATCCGGCTTGTGATCCTCCCCTGACATGGGGCTCTGGTGACCAGGCAGTGATTGGATGAGCCCACAGGGCGAGGAGGAGGTCACTCCTTCAAGACTCGGGGAGAAAGAGGTGCTGTGGGATTGCAAGCTGGGAAAGTAGATAGCTGAGAGCAAACGGAGAGAACGGTCTCCCAGAGTAATGCAAAGAGAGGAAAGAGGGACAAAAACAGAAACAGTGAGGGCAATACAGAGAGATGATACGCAAGTGAAGGAATGGGGAATTAGGGGAAAAATTTAGGAGAGACTGAAAAAGACAAAGATCTCTATATATCTACACGGAGAGACTCAGAAAGAGGTACAAACAGAGGGAGAAGGAATAAGACAACAGACATAGAGGGGAGCAACAGGAACAGAGAAAAACTGAGTCAGAACTAAAGGCTCAGGGATACAGGAGACTGGACGGTCTTGGGTGTTTGCTGTTGGACATGGAAGCAGAAGGGAGGACTGAGCTGGGTAAGCAAAAGAAGGGGAGAGTTTGCAGCAGCCTCTGGCCAGAGAGCTACCCAGCCACTGGGACTCGGACCTCCACAGTAGGTAAGTGAATCTCTGGGGTGCTCCTGAGGAGGCAACAGGTGTGGGGGCTCCAGGCCTGGGCTCCTGTGAGGCAATGGTTTACCACAAAAAAGGTGAAGATGAGAAATCAAAACCAGAACCCTAGAATGTTAAAACCATGAGACCCTTAGAAAGCCTAAGGCAATGCCTTCGTTTTATAGACTGGGGACTGAGGCCCTGGCAGGACGAGCTGCTGAACAGCACACATCCCGGGGGAGCAGAGGCAAGGCTGAAATCATCTTCTCACTCCTGACCTCGGAGTTTGCCCACTGCATTGCCTTCTCTGAAGGATGGAGCTGGAGGGCTCAAGGGTTTTGAATCTGAAGAGAATAGGGGACCAGTGGCTCAACCTATCTTTGTCCCCAGGTAGACAGTGAGCACTGGGTGGGGCCTCACCCCTGGGTCCCCATGGGGATGAGGGCCTCCGCTCCAGACGTCTCCTTTTCTCAATGTGCACCTTCCAGGTGTTTCTTTTCGCTCCCTGTTCTCTTTCCCGGCTGGCTCTCAGACTAATTAGTGTGGGGGCTTAGTGAGCCTGTGGGAAGGACAGGCAAGCCTTTCCCACGAGCTCAGGTTCCTCCAGCCCTCGTGGCGGGGCAGACTAGGGGAGAAGATGAAATGTACATGAGGGGGGGTGTGTCTGAGCGGAAGAGGGGAAATGTTCCATCCCCCCTAGGAGAATGGGAGCCATATAAAGAAGGTTTCAGGTGAATGTGAGCTCTGAGAGCATGAACAAGTCTTAGAGACCTGGACAGTGTGTTAGGGTGTCAAAGCAAATACAAGATCCATGAGTGAGACCCAGCAGGGTAGTATGTGTGGTCATATAGGGGCACTGAGTAGAATTTCGGGGACCAGCACCTGTGGTCCAATGATGGATAGGTGGGCCCACTTGGCAGCAATCTCTCCCTTTCCCTCTATCTTTAGATGTGGGCCCTCAGCCTTACAGGAACCTCCCTGGTGTAGGAGTGGGAAGACCAAGGCTTTCTCCTCAAGGTGGACCAAGGGGTCACCCACACACCCGGCGGCGCCACCGCACCACCTTCAGTCCAGCGCAGTTGGAACAGCTGGAGTCAGCCTTTGGGAGAAACCAGTACCCCGACATCTGGGCCCGAGAGGGCCTTGCCAGGGACACAGGTCTCGGCGAGGCCAGAATCCAGGTGATGCTCCAGGATCACCCCTTACTCTGGGAAGAAGTGCAGTTTGGGACTCAGGAGCCACTGGGGCACAAATTCTCACAGGCGTTAAGGCCCCGGCCCCACATTTACCTGAATGTAGCCGCATCCATCAGTCAACATAACCTCACCTGCACCAGGAGTGTCACTTGAGTTTAACCTTAGCTCTAACGTAATCTAATTTGAATGTCAATACCTACCCGCAACCTCAATAGTGATGTGAATTCTACACAAACAGAAATTCAATCTTAACTGTTCACATACATATATATGTAACCTTGACCCTAAACAACATGGCCTTGAAACTCAACTGGCCCTATGCTCCCTCAATTCTAATCATGGAGCTAATTAATCTTAAGTATAAACCCTACCCTAAATCCAACCCTGTCTATAACAAATAAACCCATCTGTAGTCTTAACCTCTAATAACTCTAGAATTTCCCATTCTCTGGGGAGGAAAAACGCCATTGTGTCATATTAATCTCTTATTAGAAATTGACATTTCTTACCCAAAGTTATAGTAGGGCAAATTTAGACACAGGTTAAGGGGTATGGATCTTGTTTGTCAGGAGACCTGGCTCAGACATGCATTCTGGAAAGCTTTGCTTCCTCTGATGATATTGTAAAGACTTATACTTTGTTCCTGTACCTTTTGTCATTGGGGGAGAGGGGCTTCATGTTACAGTGCCACCTGTTTAAGAGAGGGGCCCTGACATGGCTATTTTCCCCACTCCTCAGGTCTGGTTCCAGAACCGCAGAGCTAAGCAGAGGAAGCAAGAGCGGTCACTGCTTCAGCCACTGGTCCATCTGCCTCCTGCCACCTTCTCTGGTTTCTTGCCTGAGTCCCCTGCTTGCCCCTACTCCTACTCAACGCCATCTCCACCGGTGACCTGCTTTCCTCACCCCTATAATCACGCCCTTCCCTCTCAGCCTTCTACAGGTGGTTCCTTTGCTCGACCCCACCAGTCTGAAGACTGGTACCCTGCCTTGCATCCAAACCCTGCTGGTCATCTGCCCTGTCCCCCACCCCCACCCATGCTTCCCCTCAGCCTTGAGCCACCAAAGTCCTGGAACTAAAGTCAAAAAAAGTGCTGATGAGGTAATTTCCCAGCCTGTGGCCCTCATGAAACACAGAGAAAACTAGGTGGCTTCCTTTCCTTCTAATGGTAAAGTAGAAATATGGTGAAGGGCAGCTCAGACATTGGGGATTTTAAAATGGGAGATCGCAATAAAGGCTCACTGAGGTAATTAACTGAGAGAATTTAGGGTGGAAGATGTATGTAAGCCTCAATGAATGTGGCTGGAGGAAGGGTTGTATTGATGGGTATAATTGTTGCTGCTGCTGAATGGAAATAGTCGGAGATATAACTTCTGGGGCTTCATTCATTGAGATTATGATGAAGATCTTCATCCCAGCTATTTCTAGCTGATTTCAAGAAGGCTTTTGGTTTAAAGTCCCCTCCCTATCATTCACCCTACCCTCCAAATCAATCATTAACTTTTGTTTATTCTGTCCTAGGAATATCTCTTGAATTTATATTTCTCTTTCCCATTCAGGAAGACACTTTGCTTTCTCTGGCCCCATATTTTCTAATTCTCCTCATCGGTTCCTTTAGCTCCAGTCTTGCCCATTTTCGACAGACCTTTCAAATCTAATCACCAGAGAATGGTTTTCCAATGTCTTGTAAAAATAAATAAGACCTGATTTGTTTGGCCAATAAGTGTCTTTGACATTCTTTCAACCTAACTTTTAAGTTGACTGCATGTTTTAATGTATGTGCTTTCTGATAGAGAAATGTGATTTAGGGCAAACTTTTCCAAGAGCAAACCATGAGTCTTAAGGCTCATAAGAGGTTCTTCCCAGGAAAGAACCTGCTGTGAAGGGCCTTAGTCTGAGCCCTCCCAACAGAAACAGGGTGTGGCCTACTACGTGGCACCATTTATATACCATATTGCTTATAATGCACTTACTTTACTCTTTACTTATTTATATGTAGGTCTGCCTCACTTATTTGCAGGTCCATTGAAGAATTCTGAGTAAATAAGCTTCCAGGGATGTATACACATGTCATTTGCAGTTTTTTCTATACATTATTTTAAAATTCTAGAATCAAAACCTCTGTTACATATTTTTGCTCCCATGTAATTATCTCCTTGGGCCAGACAGCCTTCCAGAAAGATCATACATACCAGTTAGTGTGCTTCCAAAAGTACCTCAGTGTTGATTTCAGCACAATCTTGTCAACCTTCATCATTTTTGACGATTTGTTAATTAAGAGCGATGTCTCCTTCTTGCTTACTTTTAAATTTTCATTTAATCAATTGCTAGTGAGAGCTAAAAGAATTTCATGTGTATTGGCAATTTACATATTTTCTTTTCTGCATTGCTTCTCTGAGTTATTTGTGTATCGATATAGTCGTCTTTTACTTACGCTTGAGAGTTCTTTGTGCATTAGGAATATAAATGCCTGTTCATATATGTTGCAACTATTTCTCACCATTTGTTATTTGTGTTTTAGCCTTTCTAAACAAGGGTTTCCTGAGAGAATTAAGCCCTAATGATGTAGATACCTACTGTATGTAATGAATTAACTTCTCTTTTTAGCATCTAGAATGGTACCAGTTACGTAGAATTGGCGGAATTGAGAAATAGTCACTCAATTAATTTTCTGCGTTCTGTGGTTTGAATGAGGAGACTCAGGTGAAAAACCTCCCCTTGTTTTACTGGCTTCACTCATGCTTTCTTCCTTATTTGGATCCAAATATTATGCCTTGAATCATCTGAAATTTATTTTAGTATGTGCAGTAAAATAGTCATGTAATTTCTCCTCAATCAGGTAGCTGTTTTTTGCAATATAATTTATTTAACAGTCTATTTTTGACTTGTAAAATTATATTTTTATATACTAATTTCTCATAGGACAGTTGTAGGCTCCTAATTCTTTTCCATCAATCAGCATCTCTGTTCTGATACCAGTACCATAGCGTTCCAATTACCAAAAATTTATGGATTATTGATATCTTTAAAGTGTTTTCTTAGCCAAACACAGATGTGTCCTGTCATTTTTTCCAGACTCTCTTATATTCCTCAGGAAAGTTCTTTTTTATATAAAACAAATCATAATAGTAGTTTTATAAATTTCAAAAGTAATATATGTTCTTTGTAACAAATCAACTCAAAAGAAAAAGATTTTATGTATATAAAAATTATATAAATATATATGTATGTGTATATATATATTAACCTGGATTAATCACAAAAGCCTCATGTTGAGCAAAAATATTTTTCAAAAAAATACCTTCAATATGTCATATCATTTATATAAAGTTTTAAATATGCAAATAATTTAAAGTGACCAAAAATTTAAATATGTATACTTTTGCATGTTACATATTAAAATGCATATATGTGAAGTAAAATTTGAGGACATGCAGCCTCAGGAGAGAGAAAACACAATGTGATCCAGGAGTTGTACACAGCAGTGTTTAATTCTTCTGAGATACATGTGTGTTTGTTATATTAGTTAGTCCTAAGACTTTTTTGAATGTTTGAAATATTTCATAATTATTATTTAAGTTAGTGATCTTATCCATCATTCACCATCCAACTGGACATCATGAGATAAACAACGTTAATAGCATATATCTGTCCACAAGTATTTATACTCATAGAAAAATACACACATACTATTTTTTCCTTTCTTAAAATAAAAAATGAGATCCTATCATATATATATATGTACACATATATATTCCTTATATATAGTATATATTCCTTAATATTTCACATATATATTAAACAAAAAGTTGTAAGTTTTACGGCTGAAAGGTTTTTTTTTTTAAACTACAACAACAACAACAAGGGTTTATTAAGCCATTTGCTAATGACAAAAAAGACCCGCCTTGGGGCCTGGAGTCTAAACCACCAGCAGTCTAGGAAGGAAAAACAATACGTCTATTGTCCCGGAGTTTTGCAAGCATTTTTATACATCAAGTAGCAATTGAAAGATGTAAGCCATTCTGAAAGGATTTAATTAGCTATAGATACAGGGGATGAGCCAGCTCTGGGATGGGCACAGCAGAGTCTGCAAGCCAGAAGTGTCCACCTTGTGGATTAGCTATGGGCAGTAGGTTGGAAAGTTCACATGTAAATAAGAAGCAGAGGCTCCTGGGGTTCCATGGAGCAGGACTAAATTCCAACAGATACATGAGAATGTGAACAGTATTTCGTCAAAGCTGGTCCACGGCTATCTACAGGCTAACTTTTATCTTTTTCTCTTACTCTCCAGCTGCTGTAATTTTAATTTGAACGTCACAAATTTTTTCTTGTCATATATGTATTTTTTAATGTCTTTTTAGAATTAATAACCTATGAACATCTTTCAAATGGATCATATAGATTTTACTGTTTTCATTGCTATTAAGTGGCAGTTTCATGCTCCACGCAACCATTCCCCTATCATTTAGGAGTCAGAGTTGGTTTGGTATTTATTTTATTTAATTCATTATTAATGAGGCAAAGATAAAGATGTCAAAACAATTAGAGAACAGACACATTTCCAGATGAGGAATAGTGAAATGAATATGTAAATGGAGACAAAATTGACTTATTTAACTATTGGGAAGCGATGTCAATTGACCATTGCTGGACAGGATTTATTTACATGTCTATAGACAATTAGGTTGCATATCATTGCTATCAGTTATCTACAATTCACAGAGTTGTAAATTAGCTCGAAGACAAAGAAAGCCGCAAAGCCTACCTAGAATCAAAATAAAAAACTTGGAAAGGTGGGCCCTAAACAATGCATAGTTTTCCATTAAATGACATTTCCCCCTTAGTCTCCTCTTGTACCATATGCTTTTACTTCTGCAGGATAAAAGTCCCAAGGTACAAGTGCTGTCTTAAGGGTTATGTGCATTTAAAATTGTAAGCTTATCAAAAAATGTAGTTTAGAATGATGTCCTCTTAAAAAAAAAAAATAAATAAAGAGTAAAAGACTAGAAAAACATCTCCCTGATATTTCTTTAACGGTTTTCATTTTTAAAAAAATCTGTAACAAATCTGGAACCAATTTTTGTTTATTCTGAGAATTGGGACACTGAATTTCTTCTACATCGATAGCCAAATACTAAACGAACTACCTTTTTCGCATTGAATCAAATTGCATCTTTATCATATATCATAAATTAAATTCCCATAGATTTAAAAATCTATTCTTGGTTCCCTATTTGGGGGCTGGTTCTTCCACCAGCTTTGCAGGCTCTTGCAGGTAGCTGCACGCACCCGGAGTCCCGCGCCCTCCGCACACCCGCATCTGAGCTGGGCTGGTATCGGCAGCAGATGGACAGTCACGTTCTATGTGCCCTTCGCTCCTGACTTCCCTAGCCCCTCTCAGCCTCCTCTTCTGCAGCCCTGGCCCGTGGGCCCACTGCTGGAAAGGGGCAGAAAGGGAGCAAAGGAAGGCAAGGAGTGTTTCCGAGCTACAGGCTCCTTCTCACCGCCCTCCTGCAAGGGTCCTGGTGCTTCCAGGGCCCAGGACTGAACTGGCAGGATGAGACCTTCCAGGTTAACACAGCATCAACGGGTGGCACGGGTCTTCTTAGAAAGTTCAGGAGGCAGGGCAGGGCGTCCCTTGACTCTTCAGGTTCCCCGGTCCTTACTTCTCGCGAGTAGAGATACTCAAAGTTAAAATTGGCAGAGGGTTGGAATCTCTGCCCCAATGGAAATTTAAAAAGAGAAAAAGAACTGTCCTTCAAGCAGCGACCTCCCCTTTCCTCCCCGCCAAAGTGAAAAATGAAGCCACGTGAGGGTAAAGAAGTCATCAATTTGTCTTCGCATTGAGAAATCGAAATCCCAAGTCTTTCAAGAAGATCCTTTCCCAGGAGAATCTAAATCCGAGTTCAGAAACCGAAAAGAATTGGAGCCTGAAATGGGTGTGCGGGGCGTAGAGGGCAGGAACTCGTGGAATGGAGCGATTTAGGACGCCTGGCCACTACTGAAGCCCCGGGATCTGGACCGCGGGGTCGAGGAGCGCAGAGGGAGTGCTGGGAGGCGCAGCGGCCGAGACCTTGTC